TCTTCTTGTGTGTGTGGTTGAGGGTGTGAATGTATGCCATGACCCAAGTTTGGAGTCAGTTCTGCTCCCTCTTTTCTTTTAAATGAAATTGTTCATATGTGTGATGTGTGGGGCCACAGATAGCATGTGGAGGTCAGAGAACTCTATGTGAAGTTTGTTCTCTCTCTCCATCTTTATGTAGGTCTGGGAATCAAACTCAGGTCCCTAAGATTTTGTGTTGAGGGTGTGAATGTATGCCATGACCCAAGTTTGGAGTCAGTTCTGCTCCCTCTTTTCTTTTAAATGAAATTGTTCATATGTGTGATGTGTGGGGCCACAGATAGCATGTGGAGGTCAGAGAACTCTATGTGAAGTTTGTTCTCTCTCTCCATCTTTATGTAGGTCTGGGAATCAAACTCAGGTCCCTAAGATTTTGTGGCAAGCCTCCTTACCCTTTGCATCAACTACCTGGTCCAAGATTACACTTTAGATTTATGGAATTACACCTATGGGAGATGTGAGATAAGTAAAGGAGAAAGAGTAAGTGAGACTTTTAGGGGACCATAGTTGAAGTACATTATAAATAAACCTGCATGAAAATGTCTTTACAGGGTTCAGAGAGATGACTCAGGGAGTAAAGGCATTCGCTTCCCAGCCTTATAACTTCAGTTTGAACCCTGAGATTGACAAGGTGGAAGGAAAGAATTAAGTCCCACAAGTTATCTGCTGATCACCACACACACCCCCAAATAAGTAAATAAATAAATAAATAAATAAATAAATAAGGCCTTTTGAAGTCAACCTCTCTCAGCTTGTACATCTGATGTTGTCATAGATAGCATCCTTAGAACTGAACTGAGACTTTAAGCCCCAAGTTTCCCCAGAGGCCTTGCATGACATCCACACACTAAGTATATGTATTTAATTCTTTTTGGAGGCCTAGACAACCCCTGGTTTCTCAAATGCATCTCTGTTCTTGGCCACCATGCTCAGCCAACACATATTCCCTGAGTTCTAGGTACTGCCCTTCAGTCCTCTGTTTGAGTCATTGGTCACTAACTTCAGTCTTTTTAGCCCATTTCCATGCCTGGGACTCCACCTAAGATCACATGGCTTAGATCCTATTCCTCGTCCTCAGACTTCACCTTGAGCTTCAGACCTCTATACCCTAGGTTTTTGAAAAAGTTCAGCAGGTAGAGGTTCTTTATACAGGTCTGATGTCCTGAGTTTGATCCCTAGATCCCACAAGGAAGCAGGAGAGAACTGACTCCTGAAAGTTGTCCTCTGATTTCCACACGTGCACTGCGGCATGTATGTACTTGTCCCCACATACTCATACAGATAAATAACTCCTTTTCCTGCCACTGAAGTTCCTTTTTCATACATTGTATGATTCTCTGCCTTCTTCTGCTCCCTGATTTCTACAGGTGTTGTTCATCCTCCAGAGCCTAGGAGTACAGGCTGTAATCTGATTGGTTACTAGGGTGGCCTCCTGCAATCAGGTCATGAGGAAGACACTAGATTGTTCAGGGGGAGCTTGTTTGCTACTGTTCCTCTCCTCTCTGCTCCCTCCCACCCCTACCCATGGCAAAATGATACTATAATCAGAGTAATAACAATCAGGCCCAAGTGGGTCCCTTTAAGACAGATGACAGCAGCTGTTGTGCAGCTCAGAGAACCACAGATAGGGGAGGGGGAGCAACCGAGTGCATAGATGGGGTTGGGATGCATGGTGTCCTGTGACAAAGGACTGGACACTGGAAGACATTTAGGGTATGGATACCACTTTAACAAAGGGGATAGTGTGGTCTGAGCTGGAAAGAGTTCACTCCAGTAGGACCTCTGTGAGGTCAGAGCCCCAGGCAAAACTGAGCCCAGAGGTCAGAGTTTGGAAGTTGAAGATACTGGGCTGAGCCTAGATGGGCTGTGTTGCTGCAGAGGAAGAAGACCTGATTGCAGTGACAAGAAGGAGGTAGAAAGAGCTGAGACCAAAGGAGGATTGAGGAGTTGTCTGATAAGCTTGGGGAGAATCTTACATAGAAGGAGGGAGCTGAGGCATGGCTAAGCAGAGAAGGGACAGTCTTTGGTGGAAGTGTGCAAGGCTGATTTCACTCCTACACCTGCAGGCCTTGACATGGAAATGTAGCTGCAGGTTAGTGTGCCTAGATAATCTAACAACACCCATTGGTGTTCCTGGCTTCAAATGTAACCAGATAAGGCATGAGCCTGCGATAAGTTATGACTAGGTAAATAAAGGTTTGATGGGGAATACATTGAAGAGGGATGCCAGGAGAGGAGTTGAAGTTCTTAGGTACTTGAAGATAAGAGAACCTGTCAAGAATTGGAGACAAGAAATTGATGAGAATGAGGAAGATACTGATGCAATCAGGAGCCTGGATTGGATAGTGCTTTGGCCAGGCACTGAGTAAGAGACAATCTGAGAGAGAGAGAGAGAGAGAGAGAGAGAGAGAGAGGAGAAGAGAAGAGAGGGAGAAAGGGAGAGCACTAGAGTTACTGAGTACTGTGTGGGTATGTGGGTTTCAGCTTGGTGGGACGTATCCTAAGCTCCTAATTCACATTCCATATTAGACAGGGCACCTGGCAGCAACTGAGACAGAAAGAGGGGTCAAAACCTTATAATCAGATCATGGTACGATGCAGGCATTTTACCTTAAAGGCCTCAGAGGTCAGCTGATGACACCTGAGTGAAGACAAGGGTACGTACGTACACCAAGACTGAGCATCTAAGTAAAAACATAAGGTAAAGGCCAGGTCACATGACCTGGATAGGAACCAGGTATTGGTGGAGGGACCTGACCTGGATAGGTCACTACCTCACCAGGCTTCTATTCACTCTGGGAGCAGCTTTTGAGCACAGCCAGCTTCCTGTTCCCATCCTCTGTGCATAGTTATTCCATTTCTTCCCATGTCTGCCCTCAATGGACAGGTAAGATGCAGTGGAGGTAGAAGCATGGGGAACAGGACGTGTGGCCACTAGTACCCACTGTGATATAAACTCCTCCAGGTGAGAGATCTTGGCACCTGGGAGTCTACTAGCTTTGGACTCACATATAATGTCTCAGTAGGTCAGCTGTCTCTAAAAGGTGAAGGCTGCTGCAGAGATTATACCTGGTCAACAGCTGAAGTCTAATCCATTACATCCTTAGAGTTTCTAAGCCAAAGAACTAGCTTTCTTAGTACTTCCCTCTTCTTTGCTTCAACATTCTGATGTTCAACATGTGGCTCTGCTGCTCTAGATTTATTCCTGTACACCTTCCTCAACACGACATAACTCTTACGATCTATGGATCGTTGCCTCCTGTGTAGAAACATCTCTCTTGGTTTGTTACTTCTGTAGACAGAAATAAAGTCCTTTGTTTCTCCTTATAAGCTCTTAACAACAAGCCAAAATACAATCCCAACAAATTTCATCCCAGGAAACCGATGAGTTTATTGAGCTTACTTAGGGAACCTGGGTAAGGGGTTGTCAGTTGGAGCATGGGGGACCCCAAAGGCAGCCACACTAGAAAAGCTTCATTCAACAATGAATGACTTCCCTAACACTGCATTGATGGAGCTATCTCAGTCTCCTACAGCTTCTGACACCTCAAGTCCATGTGAAATTAAGGCAGAACTGCATGCAAATGGCTTGGAGGCATAGCTGGATCGCAGGTGAGGGTCCAGTAATCACCCCCCCTTTTCTTAGGGAGT